AGTCGAAACATACCCTGTAGAACGTCGTGTGGTTCGTACGCTATTTGATGGTGATGTTCGTGCGTTCCTGTACCGGGGGGGGGGAGGGATGCACAGGTTTTGACCGAAAACCCGGGGACGCGGTGGTTCTGTCCCCGGGGTGGCTTTTTTTTTTTTTTGTTCTTGACATGTTTGTCACTCATGTTTAAACATCCCCTCCAAAGGTTGTGTCGTGGGGATGAATGAGTATTCCTCTATGGTGGATACAGTTTGGCGGTGTTCGGCGTGAATTCTTACCATTAGCGGCATGCTAAATCAGGAAAAAGTACCCATATTTGACCTAGCACCATTTTACGTAGACAACTCATTTCGCCGTGTTTTTTTTTTCTCGAGTCGTCTACTGACTGCAATAACACATTCATGCACCAAACTGGTTGTTCTGCCTCGTTTCGAACTCGCAGAGCACGCAAGACAGGTCACGGAGGGAAAAACCCATCCCTACCCTTGGTGTCGAAAACCCGGGGATACGTCATTTTCATCCCCGGGTGTCGTTCATTTTTTTTTTTTCGTTTTTTTCTTCATTCCTACTGTATTTTACACGTGCCCACTAAATCTTGGGTCTTGAAACGCTTTGAAACGTACGAAATCAACCAATGATTAAAGTGGCCTTTAATACCCGCCGCTACTCTACATGACGAGTCTTGCATATGCACACGCATTCTCCTTGTTGTGGAGAAAAATCGGGCAACTTTGAAAACCCGTCCAGGGGGTGTGGTATCTTGTGTGGGTGGTCTGGATTCCTGTTGTGCTATTAAAAAAATATATCTGCGTCATGTTTTCGCGGCGGACCTTGCTTGGCAGGCCGGAGGTACCCTTATGCTTGGAGACTCTTGACACGACTTGTTGCTCATGTTTTCGGTGCTACCGTGTAGGGTGAATAATCATCTACGTTCAGTAGTAGTAGCTGTTGTTTGAGGCAGCTGCATATCTAGCAGACGGGATGCGCACCACCTCATTTCCCAGCTGTCACCCCGATAGTACGTTAGGCGTAAACTCAACGTTCGGTTGGATGTTGGATTTCTGTTGTCTTGACGTATTGATGCCACACAATCTCCATTTGTCGTGTTTGTCGAACAGTCCCTGACTTATCTCCGCGGGCAGTTGCAGTTCATAACCACCAAACTGCATTACCCATTTCGAGGCAGGGGCACATGGCGCTGAGGGTTGCCCAACCCTGCTGTGTAGAAGCAGCCGGAGGCGCAAGTGGCGCATGTGTGTGACTCTCGCCCTTGAGACCACGCCACGATGACGTCATGTACACGGTAAAAGATAGAACTTAGGATTGGGATCTTTAGGTTTCCGGTGGTCCGACTGCAACTGATGATGGGGTTCCAGACTCGACAAGCAATTCTGCCCTGCGCTACTTGCAACAGCGCGGTGTCGTTTTTTCGTTGAGGTCAGCAACCCCGGGTCTGGTTTGGCGTGCGTGCCTCTTGTCGCGTTCACCGGGGGGAGAACAAGAAGGCCTGTCGCGGCCGGTACGAGTTGTCTTGCCGCCCCCCTCTCGAGACACCCCGAATTTGTCTTCTTCCTATCTGAAAAGCAACGCACGGACAACACCTGTGCGCTTAACGGGTTGCGCGTGTGTGCCGCGCGCCGCCCCAAAAGAATCTCATATATAATCTCTACCTCTGTCTTGGACGAGCCCGGCGGTTTTGGACACACACACTTTTGACTTGGTTTTAGTGCAGAGGATCGTGCCTGGAAAACAATTCAACCTCTCTCACCCGCTGGCGACCTATTCTGTTTCATAGCATCATCATCAACCAACATCCCCCACTACACACCCCTTGAGACCACTACCCTGAACACACGCACACTCGTGCACGCGCGTGAACATCACCGCACGCAAACACAGGAAAACCGGGAACTTAGCACATAGTCTGCGGCGGCGGCGGACCCCTTTCTCCCAAGCCGAGGTTGAACTCTCCCTCGACACTCCTTGTGGAGAAGAGGGCGCGAGCGCGCATCGGCCACTTTTTCTTGTGTTGAACAGCCATGCGCGGATCCTTAGTTAGTAGCTCAGAGAATAAGAGCAGCGGCGGAAGCGGCAGCAACCCGGTTGCAGCGAAGGAGCCCCGGGCAAAGAAGAAGGGCGGAAAGCGAGGGGCCCCCCAGACCTTTGCAAGCAAGCTCTTCAACGTGCTCCAGGCGGCGGAGGGCAAGAAGGGGTCGCCGGTCAGCTGGTGTCTCGAAGGTGCGAGCCCGACAGACACCTGTTCCGTTGCGAATAGGAAGGGGCGTGTAGGTGGCATCTCTTTTTTGTTTTTTTGCAATTGGTTTTTTGTACCCCCCCGACCTTCGCTCTCTCTCGCTCTCGACTCTTTTCGAGGCGCAGGCGGGCGCCTGAGATCGGCCTGCGTGTGTCGTTTTCCATCTCCGCGCCCGACGGAGGGCGCTAGTGATATGTTGGCCCCCCGGTGACACCGGACTGTCCTTTACCCCGCTTATGGAATTGTGTGTCCTTCGGTGCCACACGGCAGGCGGCGGCTCTCTTTTGCACACCGCTTTTTTTTCCGTGTTTATTTTTGGTGCTGTGTCGTTTGCCGTGAGAGCAAAGCGGAAGGTATGTGTGCCTGCTGCGCAATTCTCATGCAGCAAGTGTTGCACCCCTGCTGTGTGCCATCGATCACGGAGAGGGGCCCACGGCGTACGTTTCCTCCGTTCGAGAAAGAAACGCTGCTGCTGCTGTTGTTGTTGTTGTTGTTGTTGTTGTTGTTGTTGTTGGTTTTGGTTGCTGGTGGCTTCCAGTCCTTGCATTTGCAAATTAAATTGCGAAAGAAAGCGTCAGGTTGGGGAGAGGTGTCGGCGCTTTGCCCACGTGCATGGATCCAGCCCAGGGTGTACCACAGCCAGCAGGCACGATACGGCAGCTTTCCACTGAAAAACAGTCGCCACACCCAAGATCGGCGACGACAGCAGGGGCGCATTTTGCCGAGAGATAAATATGCGTAGTCGACCGTGTCGTGCGCACATCCCTGCTGAGCTGCCTCTTGGTTATCTGCCTCTGTCGTTAATGGAGCAACATTGGGAGTATAATTACGGCGAGATCGCCTGCTGCTGCTGCTGTGCCACCACATTTCGCCGTTTTTCTGCTGTATTTCCCACCTGGTTCTCTCTCTTTCCTCGTTCAAGAGGGTCGTTTGGTACCCCGCAGCGGCAATGTAATTCCTGCTCTCTCAAATGTGTAGGGGAACGCTATCGCTCTATACACCCAGGAGAGGCACGGGGTGGCTTACCGCCGATGTGGGCACTGGTTATTACTTTGCCGGAAGGACCAATTTGCCACGGCGGCAGACCTCCTTGCGCGCAGTTTATTTATGGAGGTCTCCCTCGGTCTATGAAAAGGCAATGTTCCGTTGTTGCAGCCAGTGGGCAAGATTTTGGATGCACGTATGGACCACGCACGAAACGACGATGAGGGTGTGGTTGATGGAGATTGACAAGAGATATACACGTCCTCTCCACCCACGTTGAAGTACTGCTGTATTCTGCCTCGTCTTGACTAGGCCGTCACAGTCGTACACCCCCCAAAAAGCGGTCGTAGAAACGACATTCGCCATTGTGCCCCTCTTGTTCGGTGAACGATTACGCGTCTCGGCACAACCCAGGCACCCTACGCGCTCAATAGAAAAAACTGCTTGCTGTCGCTGCGCGCCCCAGATCGCCGGTTGTTGTTGTTGTTGTTGACTTCACATTAAACCGTATGCCAGTTGCTAAATGCCAAAATCTAGCAAAGACTCTCGGCCCGTGGTCACGAAAGTGCTGGAGCCATCTGAGGATCTAAAGAACACGCACACGTAGCAAGAAAAAGGTGTACAAGAGCCCGAAGAGGTACTACTACACCTATATATAATCCCTGCAGCACCGTACGCGTGCCCAAAACTGAACTACACGTCCGTCTCACCGT